CTCTGCCACAAACCACTTCATATATTTGGACATTTTTAAACGTGGTTCTCTAAGCAACCAGTTATTCACAGAAAATAAGCAAGAAAGTACCAGCTATGTCAAGAATGCTAGTTAATGAAATGATAGAATTCTTCCAGAACAATCATATTTTTTTCACATTGATTAAGATTGATTTGTCTGGTTTCAGTTTGCATGGTCATTTCTATGATCCCTAAGTACCACATAAAGTGGGGACTGCCTGCATAATATTTCATTTGAAGAGATTATCTGGTGGCTCAAATGGAATCTCTATTTCTAGGAGGGAAGGAAAAGGGTAATAACTCCTTTAAGTACCCTGAAGTTCCTAGTAAGGTGTAGATGTTTAGAAAAAAATGGTTTCATTGTTTTAGTAGACAGTGACTCTGGGTTAGGTGAAAACAATGAAGAGATAAGAAATATTAGAGCGCCACCTGAGTGGTTTCGTTAGTCAAGAGTGCGAGCTCTGAGCAACAGGGTCACTGGTTTGATTCCCACATGGGACAGTGAGTTGTGCCCAAGCTGAGCTGCTGCTGAGCTGCCAAAAGGTGGCAGGATGACTCAGCTGGTGAGAGCATGTGCTCCTAACAACAAGGTTGTAGGTTCAACTCCCATATGGGATGGTGGGGTACACCGACCTGCAACTAAGATTGAACATGGCACCTTGAGCTGAGCAGCCACAAGCTGCCAATGGGAAACCCAATGGCGACTGGACTTGGAGCTGAGCTAGCTGCACCCTCCATGACTAAAATTGAAGGACAATAACTTGGCTGTTTCCTTTCCCCAATTCCCCAATAAAATCTTTTTTAAAAAAAGAAAGAAAATGTTAGAAACAAGGCCTATACTTGGTCTACACCTAAACCTAAGTTTCGGTTTTCAGACCCATCATATAAGGGTAATAATACTGGTTCCGTCTATTATAGAGTTGTTTTGAACACAGCACATAGGAAGTGCTAAATAAATGTCCATAGAGGGAATGAATGACCTGGGCCTCAGTTTGACCAAGAGTAGTTACCTCACAAAGTTCTCATAACCGTTCAATTACAGTTGAGGCTAGGACATTAAGGCTGCCCAGGTGCTGGTTATGATGGGGGTAAGGATGGGGGAAAGTATTTAGAGCAAAAAAGCCAGGTCCCTTGAAGGTACATACATATATTAGGATGAAAAGTATTTAACCCTTGCCCCAATCCTCATTCCCAGTCCCCTTGACCTTTGTGCTCTCTAAATGGAGGCTGAATGGTTCAATTTGAAAAGAAGAGTAAAGAAACAAATCTTGGGTCTGGCCATAGGGTCTTCTAGTGGTGCATATTCTTGCCTTTTTAGTTTCTCTCTGTTCTCTCTCTCCTTTTGGTAAATAACAAACAAATAAAAACATGCTCAAGTCTTCCACCTCAAACAAAAGATCAATCTTATAGCTGCCCACCATCAGCTACAG